CTTCCCCCCGGACCGTGGTCTTCCCCTTCCCCCCGGACCGTGGTCTTCCCCTTCCCCCCGGACCGTGGTCTTCCCCTTCCCCTGGACCGTGGTCTTCCCCTTCCCCCCAGACTGTGGTCTTCCCCTTCCCCCCGGACTGTGGTCTTCCCCTTCCCCCCGGACTGTGGTCTTCCCCTTCCCCCCGTCCCTTGTCCAGTCTTCTGTATAATTGGCACTTGTGCCCAGGGGAGCCCAGTGCCCACTGTGCTTGTTCTTTTTTAACATTTGCACCCACCCTAGATAGAAATTCTCATTTTGTAAGCACACCTATTCCTCACTTACTGGTATTTGCAGAATGACTGCTGGCCTCACTCTGCAGGGAAGTCCTGCTTAGGAATTCTAGGCACCAGGGGATGAGGGTGGGTAGGGAGGGAGCTCCTGGCCCACGGATGCTTGGGCAGCTGAGTTGGGCCCGGAAGTGGGCCTCATTTCCCATTTCTCCCCAGCCAGACCATCTCTGTCCACTTTGGGGCATGAACCCCCATTGACCCACAAAGCCTAGAGCCTTTAGAGCTTCAGAGAATGAGACAGTAGCTGTTGAACCCCTTAGTTCATGCAGGTGGGGACTTAGTGTGTGTATCATCATCCCAGTGTAGCTGTTCTGTAACCCTATAGCTATGCTGACTGGTTCAGTGTGTTCATCACGTTTGGGCTGTGTGGTCAGGGGGTTGGGGCACGTGATCTGATGTGGTCATCTTCCATTTTCACATAATGCCGATTTTCGCACAATGACCCAGTCTTTGGAACCTAACCGTAGAGATAGGTGAGGAGTGGGTGTATATATTTTTCAGTTGGTTAATTTTATTCATTAAGTCACCAAGTATTTATTGAAATTTTACGGTTTATCAAATTCATTCTAAGTACTGGGGGATGAGATGGTCTTAATCTCCCAGAGCTGCCGTCGTAAAGTACCGATAAGTAGGTGGTTCCAGTCAACAGAGAATTATGATCTCATGGTTCTGGAGGTTGGAACTGCAATCAGTATGTCGACCGTGTCGATTCCTTCCGGGAGCTCTGGGAGAGGAACTTCTCCATGCCTCTCTCCCAGCTTCTGGTTTTTGACAATTCTCGTGATCCTTTGATGCTTGTAGATGCATCTTCACGTGGTGTCTCCCCGCTGTGCGTGACTGTCACTGTATGTGCCCTCCGCTTTTATAAAATATCAGAAGGGATTAGGCTTAGGACCTGACCTACTCCAGTATGACTTTCTTACCTGACAACTTCTGCCAAGACAAATCCTATTTCTAAATAAGATCTTGTTCACAGGCACAGGGTTAGGACTTGTAGACATCTTTTTTTTTTTTTTTTTTTTTAACATTTTATTGTGTTTTAGCAAATTAGTTTCCCATTCAACGATTCATACGCGAGTTGTTCTGTGACATTGTTTGCTATTCCCGCAATGTGTGAGCACTCTCCCCATCTGCACCCTGCCTTCCCTGTTTCCATCCCTACAGTCCCCCCCACCCACCCCCCGCCTTGCCTTCTCATCTTTCCTTTTGGGCAAGTGTAGCCCTGTTTGGTCTCCTATAGCTGATTGTTCTAAGAAGCACATTCCTCACAGGTGTTATTGTTTATTTTATAGGCCAGTCTATTATTTGGCTGAAAGGTGACCTCCAGAAGTAGCCTCAGTTCCAGATTAAAAGGCTGGTTTAGGGTGATAGTCTTGGGGGTTCCTCCAGTCTCTTATCAGTCTAGTAAGTCTGGTCTTTTTTTATGAATTTAAGTTCTGGTTTTTTTTTTTCCTATATTTTTATCCCATGTAACCAGGACCTTCTATTGTGTCCCTGGTCAGAACGGTGAGTGGTGGTAGCTGGGCACCATCTAGTTCTTCTGGTCTCAGACTACAGGAGGCTGTGGTTTGTGTGGGCCATTAGCCCTGTGGACTAATTGCTTCCTCGAGTCTTTGGTTTCCTTCATTCTCCTTTTCTCTAGATGGAAAGAGTTGTATCTTAGATGGCACTCACAAGCTGTTAAGACCCCAGATGCTACTCACCAAGCTAGGATGTAGAACATTATGAACTATGTTATGCCACTTGACCTAGATGTCCCATGGGACTATGGTCCTGAGCTTCAAGCCCAGTCAGTCAGTCCCACGTGGTGTTTGGTTTTATCTAAGAATTGTCCATAACTGTGCCCCTATGTGCTCTGTTATATATATGAATATCTATGCAGCACATACAAATATGCGTATACAAATGCCCACAACTCTACCTATATATGCACACATATGTACTCCCACATGCCCTTGTATCTACCTGTGTAACCACTCACAAACTTTTGGTGGTTGTTACCATTTTTGCAGAGCTGTGTCTGGGTTGTAGCATTTACCACAGATGTCCTTTATTCTGTCCCTCTTAGTGTCTTCGTTTACCTTGGTCATGTTGTACTGACATCCCCCGTATGGTGTAGCATTGCCTTTCCCATCACCAGAATCCAGGTTCCTGGGACGCCTGCTCAGGGACCCTTTTCTCAAGAGGCCCAGAACAGGCCTTTTCCTCTGCCCGTGCCTATACTCTCTGTGGAGCCTTGAATCTCCTCCATGCCCTCAGAGCTCTGTTTTCTAGTCACAGTATCTGGCATAGGTATCACACCCACCCACAAACACATTTGCACACTTGCGCACACACACACTCACACACACATTCACTCACACACACATTCACTCACACACACACAATTCACACACACACACTCACACACACATTCACTCACACACACATTCACACACACACTCACTCTCACACACTGAAAATTGCCCTGTTGCCACTTGGGCTCCCTGGTGGGGTAACGCCTACTGGATTCCCCCTGCTTCCTCACTTCACCTCCCGGCTCATCCCCGAGAATCTGCACATTTGTGGAGGACACAGTTCAGCCCGCAGCCTGTGGTGAACAGACTGGCAGCACCCTGCTGTCGGGGTGCTCATGTTCTAATGGGGGGACGCAGGTGATGTTCTAACGGGGGGAGGCAGGCGACGTTCTCATGGGGGGGAGGTGACGTCTTAAGATGGGGTGACATTCTAACCGGGGGGTGGGCGTCGTTCTTATGGGGGGAGGTGGGTGACATTCTCACACGGGGAGGCAGTGACGTCCTAAGGGGGGTGACGTTCTCATGGGGGGGCGGGAGTCGTTCTCACTGGGGGAGGCGGGCGATGTTCTGACAGGGGAGGCAGGTGATGAACAAGCCAACGTGGTAACAGGAGTGCAGATAGAGGGGTACAGACAGAGCCCTGTGGCTGTGAGAGCAGGAGGCTCCTGGCCTGGGTGGTCGCGGTGGTCCCCCCAAAGAGGCGACATGTAAGCTGAGAGCTGGCTGAGGAAGGAGCCACCAGCTGATGACGAGGGACGTGACGGACGCGCCATGATGCTAGGGTGGCCAGTGTGACCAGAGCTGTTGAGCGGGTGGGGAGACGAGGAGACGTGACCGTGGCGTCGGCAAGGGGGGCCCCAGAGCCTGCAGCAGCCCCTCCATGGGAGGAGTGGGGGACAGGTGAGAGGCCTGTGGGAGGCAAGAGGAACCGCTCCCTGAGCAGCTCTTTCCAGAAGTGACACGGGGAGCAGAGGGGTGCCGAAACAGGCAAAGCGGGTGGGGTCGTGTCTGTTTGATTTAGAAGGTAGAGAGGCACGGCCGCAGTGTGGCCCGGCTCGCCAGGTGCAGACAGGCGCTGGTCTCCTCTCCCGTCTTTATTTTCATGCCCACAGGGACCTGGCATGGGGGAGGCTATGGGGTACACAGACGGGACCTTTCCAGGTGTCTGCTCTGGGTGAGGCCAAAGACAACTGTCATCTCCTTGGAGTAGTCACGGTGCCATGTCCTGTCAGCCCCCGGGGGAGGGTACTGGGGAGGACGGGACTGGCCCCGAGTGGGCCCAGGCCCCTGACCCACCCCCGACCCAGGCGCGAGATGGTGACGTTGGCTTCCGCTGTGCTTCAGGGCCGCATAGCGGGCTTCGGACGGTTTCTGATGGAATCTGTTTCTACTCGAAGTTTGCAGAGCAGCGTGTTCTACCACCTTTTAAACCACGCCTGTGTGGGGAGAAATCGTGGAGGGTTTTTATCCCAAACAATGTGTTTGAACAGAATCTAAATCCGGTCAATAGACATCATCCTAGGTAAATTATAGACTCAGAGGAAATTACACTG